GTCAAATTTTATCGTTTAGGCCCTCAACATCGTTTCTACCATTTTAGAAAATAAATCAAAAATTAATAATAAATCATACGACATTTCGAATTTAGTGTCGTCAATTTTGTTGGACTACAGACGGCACATGTTTTTATGTTAATTAATTTCATTGAATTTTTTCATTTTTTGTAATTTTTGTATAATTAGAAATTTTACTTTTACTGTGACGATTATAAAAGAGAATAAACTTCAATAAGTCCATCTGACGGTCACAAATAGAATCATCTAACGATCATCAACATCTCTCTTAAAACTATTCCTATTAAATTTCTCCCCTTTTAAATTCATCACTTCCCACTCACGTTATCTGTACCTTCAGGCATGGGTTATCCCTATTTTTTTGTGCAATACGAATTAGTCATTGAATAAAATACCATTTTTTGAAACATTCCTCTGATTCTTTTCTCTGTGACTTCAGAATTTTTTTATTTTATAAACTTAGAAACAGTATTTCCTTCGTGTCCATTCATTACCACTGCGTAAAACAAATATAAATTTGTTACCATCATATGGGTTATAATAATAGGAGAGCGGTTTGTATCACACGCTCTGGGATTTTTAAAAGTCTCATCTTTGGATTTTCTGGACCTTCCTTGCTCTACAAGTACGGAGAAAACTTGTACAACTCTTCTTCTCTCTTTTTTTTTAGCTTTTGTTTATACTTCCCGATTCATTCTTCTGTCAGCTAATTTGCTTAGTACAAAACAAAAATCTATTGCTATCTTAATTTAAGCTAGAAAAGAAGTACACGCATCCGCCTACGTAATTTTCCAAACAATTATTAGATGAAAATCAAAAGTTGACTTAACAGAGAGAAAATAAGAGAGAGCGGAGGAGAAAGAAAATTAATCCTTGTTGGTCAGAGATAATCGATTGGAACTACTGGGATAATTTAAGTAATAATAAGGATGATGTATAAATTGAGATGTCTTGATTTTGAATATTAGTGGAATTTATCCCTCGTAAATATTATAGTCCCGACATAAATAGTGTGCATTTAACCGGATTGAAGAGGAGATTAGTCGAGATGTGCGTAAGTTTGCCCATACACTTCTGACCATTGAACAAAAAAAAAGGAGGTAAACTGATGATGCTCCAAGTCGACTATGCACAATTAAATCAGTCGAGTCTATAATATAAAATAATTAATGAAACAATTAATAATAAGAGCCAAAGATTAGGTGATAGAATCTGGGTGACGTAACCACTGAAGGTAGCAACGGTAGCCGGGGAACTCCATTAATGAGAGAGTACAAAGTAGTAAAGGAGAGAGAGTAAGAGTATACTCAAAGTAAAGTTTGTGAGATTTACCCCTGTGTAGGGGGTTTACAATTTATAGGCATAAAGTTCTAACTATATCGGTAACGTGAAAATCAAGCTACTAATTTATTAGGGAGAATAACTACAATTGGAGATATACACTATTTTGGAATAATGATTATTTCGATAATTGCTCTCCTATGTGCATTGACTTTCCCTGGACTATTGAGCTTTAGATTGAACTGATGTCATAAGTTAAGTTTGACATGCCTCTTGATTATTTGAGCTTAACCTATGGACTGAGCACAAACTTGATCTAGATCTGAGCTCGTCATAATCGATTGATGATTTCTAGTAGAAATTATACATTATATCGATTACATTGTATACTTTATGATAGCTATTTTATTTTTTTGTCATTGTCTTCACGCCCTAAATATATTGTAATAGATTATACCAGAAGAGTTTTTTCCTAGATAAACTTATCTCTCGTGTGGGTGTACTTCTCTCCTATATTTATTTATTTACTCTCAAATCATTTTCGATTAGCTCTTTTACGAATCACAGAACAAAAATCCATTGTTATCCTAAGGTTTTCTTGCTTTAACAAAGAATTGGGTACTAAAAAAAAGAGAGAATCATACTTTACACCCCAAATGATTTAACAATTTGTATTTTGCACATTATGGTCATTCGTTTAACTTATGTTTTTCATTTAATCAAAAATTATCCTAATGACATTGACGGAATAAGTAACGGAAGTTAAAAGAGCTGTTACATTGCAACACTTTTGTTATATTGAATATATAATGTGAAAAATCTAATTGCAAAGAAACAAAATTTTGATGGATGAATCATACATTTTTTATAATGTAAATTGCACTTTACCCTTTAAAAAACAAGGAACATTAAGAAGTATCCAGTAATTTTGATGGATTCGACATTAAAATTAAAAACAGTTCAACAGGATTTGACAACCACTTGACATATATGATTCAACTAATTAAGAGGAAAATCCTTCACGCAATAGTTAAGCTCACAAACAATGTATGAACACACGCGGGCAAGCCTAATTCTCGAACCGGGGTGTTAAATGTGTCGGATTAGGTTATTTTGTGTTGAGTTGATTTTAAATTTGTGTCAAAAATTCTAAAACCTGAACCTAACATGTTTAATAATTATGTCGAGATGTGTAAACACTAACTTGACCTAACATAATCATTAAAAGAGTTATCCGAATCCGACATGATTAACACGTTTAATAAATAAGTCGTTTTCGGGCTAACACATATAATATNTTAACATAATCATTAAAGGAGTTATTCGAACCCGACATGTTTAACACGTTTAATAAATAAGTCGTTTTCGAGCTAACACATATAATATGACATGTTTAACTTGTTTAACACACATAGTAAAGACATGTTTAGCGTATATAACATGTTTCCATACCTATTTATTACCATTAAATATACTATTCAATCATTCATCTAAAATTTCAAATAATTTTTTTACAAATAACATATCACATCTCATCAATGAAATTAACTAAAACGCATTTAAGTTTCAACCCAAAAATTAAAGTCAGAACTATACTAGTATACTGTCACAATAATATTAAAAATTATACTGCAAATTATCATAGTAGAAATAAGAATTAATAAGTAATAATGTTAAGACCACATTAGTCATACATAATAGGCAATTTATACTGCCATAAATGGATTAAACGGATTTAAATGGGTTANCGTCATACATAATAGGCAATTTATACTGCCATAAATGGATTAAACGGGTTTAAATGGGTTAGGTCGGGTTCGTGTTCGAATTATTTCAACCCGTCTAAAATATACGGGTTAATTAGATCAAAATCAGGTTAAGTTGATTATGACATGAACTCGACATGATTTTTTTTTTATTTAAATATGTTGACCCATTTTAATCCATTAACTTGTTTAATTTTGTATTCAATTCGTGCCAGCCGTACTCATAGCGACAGGATGCCCGTGTATTAGACTACTGTCTCTTTTCTCAGAACATTCATTTAGTTTAACTATCCATAAAAGTAAACAAATATAGTTAAAGAACAACCTAAGGATTGAACTTATTTTTGAAAACCAACTTGCAAAGCAAAACGTGTCCATAGCAAGCTAGTCGATCTACCTAAGACTTTCATACTTAGAGGTGCAAATGAATCGAATAAAAGATTTTTTCAGTTCGGATCATTAGTTTGTTGTCAAAACTTGGGCATGACCCATCTGATTAAATGAAAGAAATTCGATCTTAAACATGAGTTCATGCTCGTGTTTAAAGGTTAAGTTCAACTCATTTATATACATATATAATATTGTAATAATAAATTCCGGGCTCTATTCTTTGTTAAATCAGCTTTAGGATTTACTTCGAGCTCAGTTGACTTTATAAATGAAGAAATTTGAATAAAATTTAATCTTGTCCAATCCCTGATGCCAACCTCTTCATAAATAGGTCGGCTCATTTGCAACACTGTTCACAGAGAGAGAGAGAGAGAGAGGGGATTATGATGGGTATGTGTGTACAGTTGAAATGGGAGGCGCCAGAAGACAAACTCATATTCTCTGTCGATAGATACACCAGAAGACAAGCTTCTGTTATTTATTCTCTCTCCAGATCATTAGTCTGCCCTGTTGACGCAGCATGAATCCAAAGGTATTTTGATGACATGCACAGTTTAAAACTACGATCTTTTAAGCAGATTTTGCACTTATATGTTTGAGAATTGAGTGCAATGGGCTTTCATCATTGGACAAATAACAAATTTTTTTGTTGCTTTACAAAATAATTTCGTAAAAAAATGGTACATTAATCTTTTGGGTAAATTACGTCAAGACCCCCTAATCTTTTAGCAATAAGAAATATAAATTAAAGAACCTTCTTAACTCTGTGTCTGTCCTGTACAATGAAGTTGGTAATGGTACGTATTAAAATAAATATAATGGGACCAGGTGTTTCTGTGGTGACCCTTATGGTTTGATGCTATCTTTGGCTTTTCTCCAACTTACAATAATAAATAATAATTTTGCCATTAAGTTACACAATTCCGTGGCTCTGCTTGGGGATTAAGGAACTTTAACTCCACTCCATTCACACTATGATTATAGTACAAAAGAGGAAAATGATGAATTATTTCAATGAAATGAACTCGGTACAATAATTGAGGCACTCACTCATGCCTCATGTAAAGTTAGTAATCTAGGATTGAAATGACTCCAAATCCTACAAAGCAACTTTTATGAGGTTGCATACTTGTTTCAATAGGGCCCTATTAATGTGTGTGTGTGAGAGAGAGAGAAAGAGAGAGGGAGAGAGATCTTCTATGAGGGAAAATGAAAAGGAGAAGCCATTCTTTTTTCCAGCCCATGGAAAAGAAAACTGAAAGCTAATGTTGAAAGAGAGACAAAAACGAGAAAATTGGGGGAAAAGGATGGGCTCACCCACACCCATCTAGAAATCCTTGACTTTTATAAGCTAAAGAACAAAAAATGAGCCACACAAAGCAATAGAAAAGTAGTTGCCATTAAGAAAAGACAGTGACAAACAAGCCAAGGTGTCATTGATGACAATGCCATTGCTACCATAACACACCTGTCTTTCTACATAACAACATTCACTCTTCCCTCCCTTCTATCTTCCAGTAAAATCTCCTCTTCCCAAACATCATGTTTGATCCAAGAACTGAACTTTCTAACACAAATGACAGTTATGACCGTTGGGGGGATATTAATCACAGTGCCAGAGCCCGAAAAACTGCTCCAAACTATGAGAATTATGGGAATTGGAATGGTGGTGGGGTTAATCTTAGGCCTCAGAATATGGCTGATGAGTCTGGTGTTTGTTCACCACCTTTGTGGAACACTAGTCCACCTAGAAGCCCGGTCCATCAGCGGCCTCACCACAACAATTATCGGTATCTCTCTCCTGCATCAAGAACTCAAGCAATTGCCAGAGGCCAGTGGGAGCTTATGGAGATGGTCAAGAAAATGCCAGAGTCAAGTTATGAGCTCACTTTGAGAGATCTTGTTGTGCAGCCTAGAGCAGAACCTCAAGAAGACTGTTTGGTTCAAAAGAAAATTTTTGGTGATGAAGTTGGAGTGAAGGTAAAGAGGCAAGAAAGTAAGAGAAAGGAAAGGAAAGTAAAAATGATGAACAGTAGAAGTACTGAAAATGGGGGATTGTTTCTTAAGATGGTGTTTCCAGTTTCTTTGGGATCAA